GCCTCATAGACTCTCTTCATTTATTTCGTACAAAAAACATAAAAATTTGACAAACACAAGAAAACAGAGAGCACAGAAACACCAGTTGGCCGGACATAATTACCAAAAAGTGAACTATATAAATATCTAGTGGCTCTCCGATGCCAATGAGAACAAAAATTATTAAAAAACTAAATGTTAAAGAGTTCAATTTACAAGAGTAAAATTTGAGACGAAAAATATAAAAAAAAATTGCTTAGCATAAAAGTTTTAAAATTCTGATAAAAAAAAAAAGTTTAAATCAAAGGACTCCACCTATTGTAAACAACTTTACAATGACATTCTCTCTCCACAGAATAATTCACGTGAAATTAAAAAAGAAAAGAAGCACTTAAGATTTGGCATCAATCAATTGTTGAAGACGATGATGTATTCTTTCATTGAATTGCCTCGTTCCCATGAACTCAATTGGACGAAGTTAAGTACTGATATCATCAATGCCTTCCACATATTTCCTCAACCAACGGATCGTAAATATTCCGGTTTAGCTTGTCTTTTGAATGAGGTTTGTATTAAGAAATCTCTATATAGCTTACTTTAAATTCATTTGGAACAAGCACATTAATATAATATAATATAATATAATATAATATAATATAATATATATTATATAAATCAATAAATTGACAAAAGTTGATATGGTATGATTATAGGAAACTAATCAAAGCCGAACACCGACTTGATAAATGTATACCAAAATAATTATTTCTAGCATATATCCAATATGTTGAAGTATAATCATCAAATATCATGAATATTGAGTTTAAAAAACGAAGACGGTATAAGCCCCCTATGGGCTCTAAAATGCGAAAATACATTTAGCAATAATTTTTGAAAGAGTAAAAGTATAATGGGTTCTAAATATGTTCCATGTGCCTCCCCAAAATCTCAATATCATGTAATAGAAATACAGGCCTAAATACAGGCCTAAATAAGTTAAAATGGTAATTTACGTACTTCTAGGAAGAAAATGATTTTACTCAACTTTATCTCAAACAATCTCAATAATATGAAGGTTCCAAGATGAATATCTGTCTTAATAGACCTTTCCATTAAGACCCTAACCTTGGATATTCTTGCTATTATAAAAGGTCCCAAAAACGACGGTGAACATACCACTGATCTCTACTAAAAAACTATTATAGTAGAGATCAGTCGAACGTACGCTAACACGTGCGTTTGTGTGACAAACCGTGTGCTTCTTAAACACGCGCGTATTCCTGGCTCTGTTCTGATTGGTCAGTTATTAAGACTGACACTACGAAAAGGTCCTTTGAATGCAAACAAACTTAACAGAACTTTACTAAAATAGTTTAATAGAAACAAGTGATAAACAAAATGATCAACATAAAGATACCGACACATATGCGGTCTGTCCCATGCAAAAAATTAGGTCCCATGCAAAAAATTAGGGCCCTTTTGGAAAAAAAATAATACACAATAATTAGTACTGTGTTGCCTCTAGACAAATTTGTTTACCATTGTGCCTACCATTTGTTTCTTGTTTAAAAGTTACCACTCAGCAGGCATTACGCCAAAGAAGAGAGCAGGTGCTCCCGAAATATGCTTCCGCGTAGGCCTATAAACGTTCAAGTCCCGGTCGAGGCCGAGTTTTTTCATTCTTTGTTAGATTCCTCTTCTGTTACGTTTCAAATTACTGTATATTAATCATTGCAATATTCCTCTTGCTGATTCTGGGATTTTCGCCATGTCAATCAATCACTGTATTTATCTTTCTTTGATGATTTATATAATTTTAAAATTATATATACAGTATAATGAAAACTCAGCCTCCACCGGAATCTTTCGCGTACAATGCTTTCATTATTTTAACGTGTATGGCGTCATGATTTTGATATAGAACTAATATAACACATGAATATAGACTGCCAGAGATCTATAAGATATGCCCTCTGCTGATAATTATTTTTTCTTTACTGGACCTCGAATGAGATACTTGTAATTTGTCGACATTAAATAACACTGTAAATTTTAACTATATTTTTCAGGAATGGAAAATTAAAACAGAGAAACAACAGGAACAGATAATGTACATCATAGATTGTATACTCCGTTCGAACGCTTTGAGCTTCATCTTATGCGACAAAATATAGTAAACTAAGAGATGTACATTGAATGAGATATCTTAAATTCACAGTACGATATTGTATATATATATAAGGAACTGATAATGTACATTATAGATTGTATACTCCGTTCGAACATTTTGAGCTTCAACTTATGCGACAAAATATAGTAAACTAAGAGAGATGTTGTACATTGAATAAGATATCTTAAATTCACAGTACGATATTATATTTATATATATATATATATATATTTTTTATATATATATATATATGTGTGTGTGTGTGTGTGTGTGTGTGGATGGGTGTGGGTGTGTGTGACCTGCAAAATTTGTTCATCAAGTGTTTCAAGAAACAACCGAAATAGATTATAAGATACAATCAAACCAACCAATAAAAGCTTTAGTCGTTTATTTTTCCTATAATTAGCTATGTAGCTGCAGGAAAAAAAATTGAACCTAAACTTAAACAATTAAATTCCAATCATTTGGAAAACTAGACATTGACTTTATCAGGAAAAATGATTCTAATTAAATCTTTTGGGCTCTATCAATTTATTTATTTGGCCTCTGTCATTCACATTCCAATTACATTAAATAATCAGATTGAGAAAATTGTTTACAAATTTCTTGTGGAAAGGAGGCAATGGTTTTATTAAAAGAAAAGTGGTTATTACCAACATAAAGCATGGAGGACTGAAAATGGTCGATATCAAATCTATGTTTAAAGCACTAAAAATTCAATGGATAGAACGCTCTCAAAATAGTAATGCTTCTTGGAAATGTCATTTAATTATTTTTTTTGGTCCCATATGGTGGAAGTATAATATTTAATTGTAATATGAAAGAAGAACAGGTGTTTGCATGGAAGAGTGTTCCACAATTGTATAAAGATGTGTTTGTATCCTACTTTGATCTCACTAGTCGTTTTGGAAAAGTTTTTAGCTAGCTTTCAATACTTCAAAAAGTTGAAAGAAATATTGCCATGGACAGAAATACTATAAGTTTACTGCTAAATGGAGTAAAATAGTTGATTATATCTGAATTGTCCTGGTGTTAAATATTAAATTATTGACTGGTATAAAAAATGAAAACAAAGAGGTAATTGTAAAATTTAGGTTTAAAAGAATGTAAATTTATGTGGTTTGTTTTAAGTAAACAAAGTTTGTTTAAACTATTTTGTAAAATATGGGGGATGCAAGTATCAGAGGTATTTAAGTGAATGATAAAGAAATCAAAATTCATACTATATGCAGATGATACAACATGTACGCTAGATAAGGAGCTATTCTGGGCATTACCTATCAAATTTTAATGAAGTTAATTTTTTAATGTAATTTGAAAGGAGAATTATATGTTTGCATGGAAGAATGTTCCTCAATTCCATATTAAGACGTGTTTATGTCTTACTTTGGTTTCACTAAACTCTATGAGGTTAATTTTACCTCACAATGTATTTGGAATAATTTCAACATTAGAAATAATGGTAAATCCTGCCCTTATTATGTTTCACTATTTAACAGAGGGATAGAATTGGTAAGTGATCTTTTTAATGATAATGGGCAAGTTTTTTCCTTTGACTTTTGGCTGGCCAGCGGCATACCAAAGACTTTTTTTTTTTTTTAATGGAGAAGTGTAATTGCTGCAATTCCACCCCCCTGGAGGAAGACATTGAGTCAGGTTTTTAATAGAAAGGATTGTAAAAGAAAGGGTCTCCAAATGTTTGAGGAGGAAAAGAATGACAACAAAAGCAATTTAACAAATATTAATTAGTAGATTTATTGAACCACCTACCGCCTAATTAAAATATAGTAGTGAATTCAACATAGGCCTATTTGAAAATGAATGGAATTATATCTATACTTTACCCTTCAAGTGTTGTCAAGATTAAACAAATATCCAGGTTTTTGAGTATAAAATCAACACAAATTCCATGACAAATACAAGACTTTACCATATGAAAATTTTGAATAATGTTTGTTCACTCTGTAAAATGAACAGTGAATCAATGATACATCTTTTGTTTAACTGTGGTAGAGTAAAACCAATTTTGACAAGGTTTCATATTTGGTGGAATGAGGTAATGCAACAAAAAATAACTTTAGATTACAAATCGATTATTTTTGGGGTTAATTTTCATAAACCAGATTTGTTGTTAAACCTATGCATTATAATTATCAAAAAATTATTTTGGGAGTCGTTTTGGAAAGTTTTTAGCTAGCTTTCAATACTTCAAAATTTTACTTAAATTTAATTTCAAGTTGAAAGAAATATTGCCATGGAGAGAAATACTATGAATAAGTTTACTGCTAAATGGAGTAAAATAGTTGATTTTATCTGACTTGTCCTGGAGTTTATTTAATCATTTACTGGTATAAAAAATGAAAACAAAGAGGTAAATGTAAAATTTAGGTTTAAAAGAATGTTGTAAATTTATGTGGTTTGTTTTAAGTGTATTTTGAATAATTGATATTTGTTGATTCTGTAAGGTACAGTGAAAAAAAGACCTATTTTGTAAAATTTGGGACGCAATTATCAGTGAATGATAAGGAAATCAAAATTTATACAATATGCAGATGATACAACACGTACGCTAGATGAGGAACTTTCTGGGCATAACCTATCAAATTTTAAAGAAGTTAAGGCATACCACATAATTAGTTTTTAAAACTAAGTGTGGTTAATTGCTGCAATTTCCACACACCCGGAGTAAGACATATAGTCAGCGTTAAAATAGAAAGGATGTGAAGGGAAGGGTCTCCAAATGTTTCAGGGGGAAAGAATGACAACAAAAGCAATATTATATCAAATATTAATTTGTAGATTTATTGAACCACCAACTGCCTAATTAAAATATGGTAGTGAATTTATCATATATGAATATAAGTGAATTCATATCTATTCTTTACCTTGCAAGTGCAGTCAAGATACAAATACCCAGGTTTTTTCAGTATAAAATCAACACAAATTGCCTTATAACAAATACAGGACTTTTTGGTATGAAATTTTGAATAATGCTGTTAGTTCACTCGGTAAAATGCATAGTGAAACAATGACACATCTTTTGTTTAACTGTGATAGAGTAAAACTAATAGGGACAAGTTTTCAAATTTGGTGGAATGAGGCAATACAACATAAATTCGTATTAGATTACAAATCAATTATTTTTCGGGGTTAATTTTCTTAAATCTGATTTGCTGTTAAAAATTACTTTAGGGAGCCGAATTGGATTTTTTTTTCTGCTGGCTTTCAATATTTCAAAATTGTGCTTAAATTAATTTTTCAAGTGCCATGAATTATTGAAATAGTGAAATATCGCCATGGAGAGAAATACTATGTGTAAGTTCACCGATAAATGAAATAAAATAGTTGAAATTATCTAAATTGCCTGGGGGTTTATCTATTTGTATCAACAACAAAAAAATGAAAAGGAATTTGTAAAGTTTAGGTTTATAAGAAGTTGTAAAATTTAGGTTTATAAGAAGGTTGTAAATTTATGGGATTGTTTATGTGTTAGTTGAATAACGATGGTTGTTCAGGTACGACGAAAAAAAAAACAAGGTGTCCTCTGTTTTTATGGAAACAGGTGTACAATCATGATGGTTGGAGAGAAATACTATGTACAAGTTCACTGATAAATGAAATAAAATACTTGAATTTATCTGAAATGCCTGGGGGTTTATTTATTTGTATAAAAAAAAAATGAAAACCTCTGAAGGTTTTCCTTTTTCTTTTTTTTTTTTCTTTTTTATACTGAGTGACTAACTTTTTCGGACAATCGCTGTTCTTCTTTTTAAGTGCCTTTTGTGTGTCCTTGAGCACGGGATTTCTTTTGTTTTTGGAAATAAAAAATAAAAAATACTTTGTATTTAAAAAAAAAATAAGCAGCAGCACTTTCGTTTACTGGTGGCGTAATCGCCACCACTTTCATTTACTAGTAGCGTAATCGTATATACGTGGCTATAATACCTCCGAGAAATCTCATTTGCTATGATTCAAAATAAATTTTTAACAGCAAATGTCCACCTATAATATTGAATACTATCTCCTAATTTGTGCAGTTACTCGTACCTCTATTTAAAGAAGCTAATTTCCATGTTCCAGCAGTGTTTGTCTAGGCCACAGGTGGATAAAGTTTTAAAGCGACTTTTTTTTTGGCAGCCTGAGAGATTAAATTAAAAACCTTATGTGTGCAGCCTGCCAAGCAAAATGGGCTGGAAAACACCTTGTTACCCTTACCACTGTCACATTCCGGAATCTCGTCACGATCATGGCGCTGTTCCTTGTTGTTTTCTGTGTAACGGACCACGTAAGTTACCCATTGTTCATCAATAACAATAACATGGACGTACCACTACTAGCTATCTAGGCCTATGCATAGGGTTCGATTTGTTGTTTCTCATCTTAGTAAAGAACTTTGGAACTCACACGACTTCAAGCTTGCAATTAAACTAAAACTGTTGCATCATGCACTCACTTCAGAGACTATTTTACCACAAGAAGTCGATCATCACCACTATTTTAGATGAACTTTTAGGAGCCAATAAAGAATTCATAAAGAAGATTCCAATCCTACCAATCATAGGGATAGGGATTCTAAGACCCTATGGAGGTTAGGAAAATAAACATTCTTTTTTTTTTTCGGTGCAAGAAGAGTTATTGACAGTTTCATCCCGTATTTATCAAAAATAACTGATACATTTGAACACCTATGCCTTCTAATTTTCAATTACCTTCCAAAAAGTGACAGAGTAGATATTATCTGTGATCAATATCATGCAAATCCATTGAGCGAAGATGAAGGGGAATGGGAGTTGAGGTTTTACTAAAAACTCCATCAGACTTCAAAAACTTCCTATCGAATATGAAACAGCTATGGTCATATGATAATGAGTGGCAAACAGATGTATGTATACCAAAATCAAGGGAAGAAAATTATTGTCACAAACTATGAAACGTGTTACAAGTTTAAGTGCGATGGACTTAAAGCTTAAACGTTATGGTGTTCGAATATATGCAAGTGGCCAAGTCTTTTGTAGGTACTGGATAAACCAAGGTGGCACACCACAAGTTGTGCAACAACTGGATATTGGAACTGAAAGTACCAAAAACATTTGGACCATTTATCAAGCCAGGCTGTGGAACACTTCCTTTAGTCAAGTGGATTGGTAAATGCTTTGCTATCGGATTGCAATCGGAACAACAAAACAAGGTTGGATAATGAACTTTATTTTGTAGGATAGCGTGCAGGCCAAGACCGATACAGAGAACAAGAACTTTTGAACACTAACTGTATTGCACGTGTGATAGAAACGAACATTGATAACTAAACAACATGACCGTATATGCGGAACATTGTATATTATGACATACCGCTACATTACGTTAAATTACGTTAAATTAGAATGTTAGGGGTGTTGAATTGTTACTTATGACCACAACTCGAATGTCCTGGTTATGGTTAGTGGACATATAAATTAATGAGTAAACCACTGGAATTGTACGTAGCCTATATGATTGTGGGTTTCAATGGCTAAACACCAGTAACTGAAATACCAGAACTTGTGCAAGAGAGAAAGGGTATTGGATTCCATGCGTTAATGAACAGCTAGTTGTTGGGGTGGTAAAGTGCTTAAATGCAATATTGAGAATAAGGCGTGGTTAGGGTATTAGTGACAGTCATACATAGCACACAGAATTGTGGAAGGCTGGAAAGTAGTGTGTTTGAACAGGAGTAGTAGAAGAGGTGAAGGCTGTTCGAGGTACAGGGGTGATGGTACATGAATCCTTAAGGCAATGACCATTAATTCGGAAATGCGCTGTGCGTTGTGGTTAGGGGAGTAATTGTAGAATAGATGTTGCAAGTTATCGATAACATGTCAACTGTGATTTTCTTGGTTTTGGCAATGTGACTTAGTTTAGTAGGAATGGTTATCATTGAATATATTTCTGCTGAGTAATTTAATGGTTGTTGTTTTCTTTTATTGCTTCAAAGCTGACATGATCCTCACAGATGGCAACCATTAGTTCTTTGATACCAAAATATCTAATGTCAAATACTGTATATGAAAAATGTCCATTTTTGCAGAATATGGCAGGTAACATTTTTTTTATGGAATAATTTACTCAACAGTAAAGATATATATTAAATTTATCTTTGTTGTTCAGTTTTGTTTTGTTAATGGATGAGTAATAAATTGCTGTACGATAAAGCATTATTTGAATGTTTTAGTTTGACCTTTGACCTTACACTGCATCAACGGATACATAATCAAATGTTAATTGAAACATTTTGGTGTCAAATATATTAATATTTGTACATTGTACTAGACATTTTGATGTTATAACCAAACCATACCCCCAAAATATCCCACATTAAAATAGCATAATTTAGCTATATGGTTCCCATCTTTGATATCGGATTACTGGTACTGGCAACCAGAAATTTCTTGACTAACAACGTGTCTCTTGTAGGTAACTGAAAAAAATAATGACAGGTATAAAACAGGGGGTGCAAGAGTGTGTTCAGAGCCCCTTTGGAGCCCCTCGACTATAACATGTACAAAAGTGTTGCCAATTGCCCCACAATACATGTAGTACATTGAACTATATATATGCAACCCCAAAGGAGACTTTACAAAAGCATTCAGAAGAAAAGGCATGGAGAAACAGATCATGGGATTCTAGTGGAAGGCGATGATGACAGCGACAGTTGTGACCTCAGAAATCAATAAAAGAACAATATATGAACTAGAACGAGAGAAGCTTGCAAGGGTTGTTTCCAGGAATGTCCGGTCAAACATGGTTTTTCTTTAAAATAGACACTGGTTCTGAAATTAATACAATTTTATCTGAACTTTAATGTCTTTTAATGATTGAAAGGATTTGCTGACCAAATTCAAAGCTATATGCATGCTAATATGAATTTTGAGCAGGTGCTAACACTCTAATTTAGAGAGGGACCGTGTTTATCCTTACTTAGCTTTAATTTCTTTCAGTTTGTTTAAGTGTAGTACCCGAAGGAAATGACGAGACATTTTATTTAGTGGGGGACTATTTGGTGGGGGAGTGAGTTATGGACTAAAAATAGATGAGTAATTTAGAGAGCCTCTAAAATTTAAATTACATATAAGCCCCTCACAACAAGATTGGAATATTGAGGGAATAGTGCAGATGATACTGCATATCATGCTCTTCTTACACCAGACTGATGCAACCTAGAGTTTATTTCAGTAGTAGTCTGCCCTTTGGAAGCTCCCATTTCTGCAATCCATCTACATTCTTTGTCATACATAGGTCATTGAGCAGTCATTTTTCTGTAGGTGTAACGAATATCACGCCGCTCATGTTTTAAAATATACTGTACACCACACCCACCTGCAGATCTACCAATGTCTAGAACACGTTATATTTTCATTGCGGATTTTTTGGGCTCAGTACGGACTCTAAACGTATGTATTTTCTTTTAGTTTTAAGGCGTATGCAGATTGTATAAGTCCGCAATGACGATATAACGTGTTCTAGCCTCTATAACATTTTTCTATACTGAACGCTATCAATTCAAACACACAATCTACATTCCTCCTAGCGAGAGCCATCTATTGTTAGCATACCTCAGATATAAATATTGTTGCTTTTGTGTACCTGAATTGTAAATCTGTGAATCCATAAAACATAATAAAATCAGAGTCAGATACATATTCATTGAATCGATTTGGCAAAAAACAAAGGGATTAGTTCAGCTAGGTCTATCATCCATAATATAGCTGTATGGCTTGCTATCACCATCACCAACTTTACACTTTATTTCAACTTCCAAAAATCTGTAAAACAAAAAAAAACAAAAAACAAAAAAGAATGACAAAAAATGTGTCATTTTGTAAGCAACATTGTGAAAGAGATTGTGGAAGGTATGTTAAAAGAGTACACAGCTTGATATGGATTAACCATATTGAAATGTTTGTGTTTATGTTATATAATATATATATATATATATATACATATTTATCAAATGTATAAATTACAACATATAAAATTCTTGTTCCACAGATTTATTGGTTGGTTTGAATTGATTTATTGGTTGATTAATCATTTTTTTTTATAAAAAAGGAAAAAGTATTTTTAAGCATTCAAAAGTGTATAATTGTCATGTAAGTGTGCACTTTTGATATCAATAATAAATTAAAAATAATTTGGACAACTTTGTGTACTTTGTTATAAACTATTCCCATTTAAGAGAATACAGAGGATGTCAACATTGGCATTTTGCATAAGAATTCGGACTAAGTATACAAACAAAGAATTGTATATCACTACTGTACCTATTCACTTCTTTATTTGGTGAAAGTGTTACTGTTCCTTGTATCGTTGTGTCCTGTTGTACATCTTCTGCCTCATTTAAGTAGACCACACACTGCCGCCAATGGGTTGGGCTGAAAACATTAAAATTTATCATGTTTTTTTTTTTTTTTTTAACCATCAATAGAGCACAAAATGTTTCAGGAACAAGATAATGAAAGCCATTTAAAAGGTGCTTTTAAAAATGGATTAATTACAATGGCTAAAGGCGAATATGAATATGATATATCCTAGAATTAAAGCTTATATCAAAATCGCACTGGACTTTTTCTAGTAAAACAAACCAGAGTATCAGTAATTAGTTCAGTGCAAACAGACCTAGAAAATTACCTCTCATGAAAACTTATTGAGACAAGCAGTTAGTTTAACTGAGTGGATTGTGTCCACTAAAACTGACCAGGTTAGTTTTACCGAGCCTGAAGGTCACTTGTGAATACGCGTCTCGGTTAAACTTCCTAATTCGAGCGTTACTCAATGGACATGTGATGGATTAGCACCCTCAATAGTTGATTTTCACTCAAAGCGTAATCAGTTTTACTATTTCTCGCAGTAAAACTTAGTGTCTAAAAAAATCCAATGCGGACAGTGGCAGATCTACCCATTGGAATATTACCCATGGTCTCAGTAAAATTCTTTTCCTTTTTAAAGTCCAGTGCAATTGCAGCTTTAAAGATTTATATTAGAACCTTACTGTTTATAAGGTGATGTTGACAGCTCAATTAAACCTTTATTAGCACAGTCAAACTGAACAGTAAACCAGGCAACAAAACCATTAAGTGTTGTCTCTCCAATTGCTTTAAACATGAACTTCCCTTTAACATGCTCCAGATCTTTTTGGGTTATTCTACTTAAGTCCAACTCTATAACTTTTTCTGCAAAACCTATCAAGTTTTTTGGTGGAAAGACTTCAACATGAACACTTCCTTCAAGAATCAAAGAAACAAATAAAAAAATGTCTAGTATTAATACAAACACACAAACAAATAATGAAAGTTTTGTTTTAAATTGCATGAATTGCATGCCTCCACTTACAATAATACAATGTTTTCATTGGTTTAAAGAAAATGGTAGACCACATATTTTTCAAAAGTAGAGACCAAATTTAAGGAAATAGGATCCTAGCAGGAGCGAGTGTCTATGCCCTATCTGTATTATTGGTCCGCGCTGACCCAGAGCCTCACTGCACACATGAACCAGAGAGGATTTGCAACAAACGTTCATCGCCCTTTTCTTAAGTTTGCCCTACACTTTTAAAAACAAGAGTTTCAAACTTTTAAAGCGTCGCAAGTTCAAATCACGTATATTTATCAAGTTTGAATCACATATTTTCATGTTCATATAAAAAAGAAAATTAACATCGAGGCGCGATTCGGACTCGCGACCTTCGGTTCCTTATTACACGTTGTTAATCGACTGCACCAACAATTTATACTGTACAGTAATTATTGGCAATAAAACCTTTGCTGAAAACCCAATATAACTACTTATGGAAATATTAGATCTCTTCAAAACAAGACAGATAAACTTCAAGCTAATGTGAGATACATACACAATTTTCGTGATAGCAGTTTGCTTTGTTTTACAGAGACATGGTTGCAAGACAGGATACCAGATAGCCCTATTTCAATAGATAGCTTTGATTGTGTTAGAGGAGACAGGACAATTGAGTCAGATAAATCACAAGGAGGAGGGGTTTGATGTTTATTTTCAAAATAGTGCAATAACTGATCTGTCAAATACAAGAAATGCACACCCAACTGTGAACTGTTGGCCGTTGGACTTCGTCCTTTCTACCTATACCTAGGGAACTTCTACAAAGAACTTACTACAAAGAAAGTGAATGAGCTGGAAACAAAATCACCTGATGTTGCAAAAATAATTCTAGGCGATTTTAATCAATGCATTTTAATTCAGTACTGCCTTCATACTCTTGAAATGTAGGACACAACAAGGCCTGAATATATTTCCTTAAAATATGATTACATACTGTATATTAAGACAAACATAAAAAGCAAAAATGACAGTCAAAGACTCAGAAACATATATGCCAGGCATTTTTCAACAGGGTAGGGGGTGGGGACGAAAAATAGTGGGCGTAGCCGGATCTCTTGAAAGTGTTCCCAGGGAGGCAAAGCCCTAAAAAATATGCTTATGATTAATAATGGGTTTCAAATTCTTATTTAACTGTAATCGATTTTAGAGGCTACTAATTATGTAGAAAATACACAATTTTGTTGTTCTCCCCAACAACTTGTGGTTTATCTCCCTAACGGGGGAGGGGGCTCCTCTCCCGCCCTCCCCCCTGTGTAATATTTATAACAGTTTTTGAAGAACGGTTGGGTAAGATGCGGTACATATTATTATAAATATTAATGTGTACAGTATTATATGCCATTCAGTAGAATTGGCTTTATCTATCTGCCTGCGTCGTTGCGTTGCGTCCTAGTGGGAACCAAGGTTAAGCCCATATTCGAAAGCAACAAAGTTGTGGAAAAGCACATTTGCATTAGACGAACTTAAAGCCACACCTAACTCATCCAACTAGAATTTATTTACCCACAAATCTACAAATATCGATGAATTAGTCCAAGTAACAGCCAAATACATTAACTTCTGTGTCGAAACCATCATTCCAGAGAAAACCTCCTATGTCTATCCAAACAATAAGACATGATTCTCCAAGGACGTTAGGGAATTGTTGTTTCAGAAGAAGGACAGTAACTGTGTAAAAGAAATACGAAAACAAATCGATCACAAGATAAAAAAAATGCAAGAAAAGACAGAGGAAAAAAATTGGAACATAACTTTAGGAATAACACCCCAAATCAGCATGGCAAATTATGAAATATATAACTAAACATAAAACTAAAACAAACAGGCATGTTGTTATCCACCATAAGGCCAACCAAAGAATGTATTTTTAAAGAAAACTTCAGAAACTGCATGTTGATGGCCATATTCTCAAAACTTTTTTATCAATCTGTAATTCAAAGTGTGCTGACTATAGTTTGATCTGTATTTTTGGAAACTTAAATAATGTAAATGTAAACGAACTGGAACGCCATAGGAAAGTTGCCCAGCGTATAATAAATAGCGAGATAGACTTTCTGTCTGATATTATATCATAAATCTGCTCTTTTAAAAATTCACAAGATCATGAATGATGAGTCACACCCGCTACACTGTAAGTTCAAATAAAACCGCTCTAGTATTAGACTGTGGTTCCCACACTCCTCACGATGCTGCTTCAGGCAATCGTTTGTTCCTGGTGCTATTCACAAATACAACTCGATAATTAAAGTGAGTAATAACTTGTTTGCTGACTTACAATAATAATTAAGTATATATGTAACTGAAGGTATTTTATTTTTATGTTTATTTAAGTTAGTTAAGTATTTGTTGTATAACATAACTTTTACTGCCAGTGGAAACAGAATTTCTATGTATCTTTTGTTACTTGGACAATAAATCATCTTAATATCTTGTATGTTAAATACGTTTTTTAAAAAAGAATCGTAATTGAAATAATCATATATTAATAAATTTCATTAATTTTGGTTAAGGCCTGGCCCTAGGATCAAATCCTCTGGCCCTAGGATCAAATCCAAGGCATAGCATAGAAATACAAACTAGGCCTTAGGTCGAAAATTCCTCCATGGCCTTCGTAAGTTCATACATGTCATATAGTCTTTTGATTTGACCGAGAAAAACATTGCAGTAAAGTAGAAAATGTTTAAATCAGGGGAAAAAGGTAATTAGCACTGGCCCACATCTGCAATACAAACTAGCCCTACCTAGACCTAGGCAAGTTCTCTCCTTTCACATTGGCATTACAATAAAATAGATAAAACATGTCTATGCTAAATGTGAATAATTTACATGATTAATACATTTTTGTTCCCTTTATTGAACAGAAAATATGGCGCATTCATCACCAACATCCAAAGAATTGAACCTTGTTGCACTCTGCACGTTTTTACCTCGCAAAGAAATGTGTGGGAACAGTACTCAAAAGATGTGGCTGAACTATCAACATCGATTGACGAATCCGTGGGGAAATGTGCGAAGCGATTAAACCAACAAGATAAACTTTAAAAAAACAGGAATTGCAGTTAAGGAAACTGCAACAAGAACTTGCGAAGACCGAAAAGCACAACTTTCAGCTTCAACAAAGCCTAACGCAATCTACTCCACCTTCTACACCACTGCTGACATCCACACTGACTAAAACATCCCCATGCATGCCAACTACAGATGACATTGAGATAGTATTATGAAGGAGTCAGACATATAGATTACACAAAAGACGAAATGGAATGTCAGCTCTATGAAATAAATAAATAAGGAAAGACTTTCATATTTTTAACATTTTTTTTTATTTAGCATGTTTTTGCCAAAAATATACAAAAAAAGTTTTAAAAAAATACAATGAACATAAAATAAAAATAAAATTTTGTTTGTGAATGCAAATAGTATAGCAACGGGACTGTTAACACTTTAATACACATCTTATTTTTGAGATTTCAAAGGAAGCAGGAGGCATAATAAAAACAAAAACTGTTTTTTTTCTGAAACCCTGTGATCCTAGCCTGATAGCATGCTTAAAATATATTTCACCCGCTAAAGGAAATGTTAGAACGATATTCCTTTGATGATTTTGTTAAGTAAAACATAGTTATTATTCTACTTAAAAATAATACATGCACAACAATTCTTTCACAAGCATTGCGTTAGACTTTGAAAGTGAAAATTGAGCTTTTTTTGTCTTGGCTAGTTCTTTGAAACACTGACCTTTGCCTGATGGTATGCTAAACCATCACATTTGTAAATTTGTAATGAAAAATATATTTCCAACGCTAAAGGAAAAGTTAGAACAATATTTCTTCTGCGATTTTTTTAAGTAAAACATGGTTAATATACTAAAAGTTATACATGTACAACCATTGCACAGACAATGACATTGCGTTGAAACTTTGCAAGTGAAAATTATTCTCTCGATGTCTTCTGAAGTTTGTGTGGGTGGAGGTGCTTTTTTCTTGTCATAGATGTCAGCAGTGGTGTAGGGGCTTTGAAGATGAAAGTTGTGCTTTTTGGTCTTCACTACAGTAGTCGCAGCTTGTGGCAGCTTCGTTAATTGGAATTTCTTGTCTTCAAAAAGTTAATCTTGTTGCTCTAATCTCTTTAAAATTATCTTTTCTACGGTTTCGTCGATCGATGATGATAATTCAGCCACATCTTTCGAGTACCGTTTTCTCTATTGGTCTGTGAAATAGAAACGTACAGGGAATGCAACAAGGTTCAATTCCTTGGATATTGGTGATGAATGCACCATATTTTCTGATGAAAAGTTTTCAAATTGTGTCCACCTCATTCACTTCCAAAGCAAGGTATAAAAAAATTCTCACCTAATTAAGAAAAACTGTTCCATATGCTGTAAAGAATAGTAACTCTGAATTTTTACACAATTATTTGTTATAAAGAAAACCAGAAATTGATTTTCAGTCCACAAAAACCATATGTAAACATTTTTGAAAATGTCATGGAATTATGATTCTAGGTTACAATATATCAAACCTTTTTATAAGATAAATACAACTAATACTGTATAATATGCATAGAAATTGTGAGGATAAAAATTCAAAACATATCCAGTTCTTGTTTATGCTACATGATTTACAATTGTACTCATTCACTGGCTAAACAATTTATGAAAAAAAAAGTGTCTTTAAAAATGTTAGGAATAGTATAGAATAAACAATTTCAATTTGGTATAAATACCCGAATCATTCCTTAAAAACCATATTATAAGGAACAAAGTTTGAAAATTTCAATTTTAGGTCTTCATATGTCATGCAACTTTGTTATGATCAAATGTATAAAAACCGTAATACTATGGAATAGATACAAGATTTACAAGTATCTTCATTCACTTGCAAAAAAGGTATAAAAATTTCTCTCCTACTATAAAGTACAATATGTAAAATTGTTATTGGCTATAGTTATTTCACCACTTTGCATCATATTGTATAATATCATTATCAAAACTAATTTAATTTATTTGTTGATGGTGTAAGAGTAATAATTTAACAAAAACTATGGTACAATATTTATAGAAAAAATTTCAGATATGTACCTCTATACATTATTCTGCCGATTAGGAGATATACACATACTGCATCCATTGTGCTTTTTGTAAAATGTATTTGTTTGCAATTAATAATTTTAATCATTCTGCTTTCACAACATCTGGTACTCGTACCAATAGCTGTCTTTTCAAAGATATTTGGCAGACATAAACTTGAGGTTGTAATTAGAAGGCTGCTCTTAAAACTATATTGAAGCGAACCAACAGCACCATTGTATTTTACTTATCTCTTGGTTCTAAGGGGCATTCGTAAATTAAACGAGTTTGTAAACTCGATCAGGTGTCAGCTTCCACTACCTAGGCCTAGCTATCCTCTGCCACTGAACGCGATAGGCTGATGGCCAAGACAAACACAAACCGGAAGTTCAGCAGCGTGGTCTACTGCACTTCAGCCTAGCTGAGAATTCTTTTGATAATAACCAAATTATTGTAATTGCTGGCATTCTGCCATTTTATAAATTATTTTTCTAATTCTTATTAAAACTTCTGTATGTTTGATGGACATTTTTATCATGTTCTTTCTAGTTTTGAGATCGCTGAATTGTGTTGTTTACATGCATTTTACGATCATCAGCCTCTTCATGATGTCAGTAAGTCGTTGACACCAATGCACTTGTTTACAATCTGTGCTCAATCTGGTTAGTAGTCAGTTGTTTATTACATTAATGGTAATTATTATAGCAGAAATGGAAGAAAAGATTTAACTATTAATAAATAAATACAAAAATACCTGATTTTATTAATAGAAAATATATTATCACTTTAAAAAACTTACGCAATCGGACTTATTTTACGTTAATAATATGTTAATGATGACCCATTAACAGCAAAAACCATTTGTAAAATTGACTATTTGTTAAATCGACGTTCGTAAAACCCGCGGACCAGTGAGCGGTTGGTGTTCACTAATAAAGTATCCACATTGGATTCGGTTATCAGAAAATGTGTGGCGTTTTTTTTTTATGACTTTTATACAGTAATGTTATGATGAAACAGCGTTTTTTTTTTTTATGACTTTTATACAGTAATGTTATGATGAAACATGATCCATCATGCACCTCCACCAGATTTACCCTTTCCGACATCTTTAACTGCCAGATCCTAGCATAGTGTCTTTGCCCCTGAGGGGGCAAGGACACAAAAACAAAATATCAATTACAGGGATCAATTAAAAATGCGTTATAATACACAAACAATAAATCATTATGAGTGCATTGAAAAATATTTCATAAAGTGAAAAAACTGAAATGTCTATCCAATGAATAAGTAATTAAGATATAGTTGTCAATACAATTAACAAATGTATCGACCACAAACTAGAGTTAAAGCCTTGCTGGGAGCCTTGGGTTGCCTCTAGACCATCAGCAATTGGGACATTGCATGTGGAATTGTATTGTTATCTGTAAATTGAAACCTAAATATATTTACAATGGATATTCTTTATAAAGAAAAGAGCTCTTACGAGTAAGCAGTTTGCGGGCATATGGGACAAGACATGACATATCCACTCCATATACTTTTTTTGTTGATTCCCACAAGGAAGTTGTCTCGTCTAATGTTTCCTCGTCTGTGACTGGAGCCATGTAGATACTGGCAATAGAGGGCAGCATAATACCTCCCTAAAAATAAAATATTGTTTTAATATGCATGTAATATTTAAAGCATTGATTGAATTGAATATAAATGCATATAGTGAAATTAATATAATTATAATGTCAATTTATTTAAACATGACAAAGTTAACAATAATTAACAATTATTGTTTATTTATTTTTATTTAATTAGCATTTAACAAAATATAATAATCCACATAAGATATTTGTATTGTATATCGTCTATAGGATACATCTGACAAATTTAAACCAAAATACAAGAACAAAAATAAAACAATTCTTGTACAGTATTTCTATTATATTCACTTGATTGTGTTATGCTGAATAATATTCTAATTGGCATTGGAAAGCCATTAGACAGTGATTTAGTTCATTTTTGGAAATCCTCTCCGGCCAATTGAGTTTTTTTTTTTTTTTCTCTCTGTCATGTTTTTTTTTGTCTGTTTTATTGTTCTTCGGACCAAATTATTGAAATGAAATAAAAAAAATTGAAACTTGCCTCTTTTAGCCAATGCTCACGTGCATAGACCACAGAGTTTAACATTGACTCATACAGCAGAAAATAGCCCTATGACAAAATAAACAATTCAAAACATAAATCAAATTAGTATTCTGCTGTAGGAATTTTCATGGCCATTCAGATGATAGTGGGGTCAAGGCCTGTCTGACCCACCTTGTCCCCCCCCCCACCTCTCCCCAGCACCACCACTGACTCAGGACCCTCAGATTGGATAACAAGCATCCTAATCACCAAGCTACAGCTCTTCCTCCACTATTGATATACTGATTGGCATGGTGACCACGTGCTGTAATAAAACCATAAAACACTTGCTTAGAATTGCAGCAATACTTAATTCCTTAGAAAAAACCTTACCCATTGAGCAGCTAGCTCACTTGGCTAAACTGGTGGTAACCACTGTGTGTGCTGTGAAGCATGAAGATCTTGAGGTCCCTGGTTCAATTCCCATCTCTGCTCTCCTTGTGCTTCAGCCGGAGGACTGATAAGCAAGTTTCAAAAAGCGCACCGTCTTTAGGATGAGATATTTAAGTTGTAGGTCCTGTGCGCACCATGGCCCATGTGCACGTTAAAGAACGCAGTACACTCTTTTCGAAAAAGGGAAGGGGATTGTCTCCTGGTGTACTGCCCAAATCACCACCGGAAGGACCCCACTGGAAATAAGTCTGATGACTTTCATGGGTTATCCTTGGTGCTTATCACTCCGAAGAAATACAACACACAATTAGGTCAATTTTTAGGGTGGTTGTGATATCCCTGGAAAATCCACTTTCATGAAAAACCTTTTTGAAGTTTGTAAGAATGCGTAACCAAAATAAAAGGTATATTTTTAAAACTGTATGCTCAATTCAAAGACATTCTTTGATTTTTTATTAAAATATTTGTAAGGGTCATCTAAGCTATAATTTAAATCATACCTTTTGCTCAGAGAAGTGCTGTATGTAAAATTTAGACATAATGTATGGGATAGGTACCTACAGGATGGGTAATTGATACAATTTTCTGTTGGCCACTGCAGTTGGCTGATGATGAAAATGATATGGTTTGATGACGTTTGAGAAGGATCTAATACAATCTTGATATACAGTACAACTCAAATATTTAATATTTTCTTTTCTAATTGATTGAGTGCAATAATTCAAATCCTTATCATTTTTTATTGTTATGTTTGCACATGATTATATTGACTTTGTCTTCCCATTTATGTATTTTCTTGCCATTATATATGTTACTGTAAAGAGGAACCGAGTCTTGCATTTTTATGTGACATTAAATTATATCAGTATCTGTAAGTGTACTTACCATCCACTCACTGACAATAACATCTACCTTTTCTGGAAGAACAACATCCTGCAAAAATAATTTAGCATTGTGACTTTTCTTTACTGAGAAACAATAACACAGCTGTCGGAACAGCCGAGTGCTTCCGCAGCCAACCTAATTTTTCAGACTATAACCTAATAAATTGTTAAATAAGTTTAAAAAAAAGCTGTGATACACTGGGTCAAATAAAAAATAAATTAAATTTAAAAATCTTCAAATATTGAAATTTGAAATTTTGGATGGGCCACTGGGTTCCTGTGGTAGCTGCAGTGCAGCTCTGGTACAGACATATTATAATGAATACATTCCATTCCTGCCTTAACTCGCATGCAAGTGGTACTTGAGTAGCAGGGCGATCTAACTGAGGTCTTCAGTGTAAGAAGCAGGAACAACTCCAAGACTGCTAGGTTTCCTCAGTAACAAAACCACAATTCAATGGGGAGAAAAAGAATGCATATGTATTTTTCACATATAGATCCCAAAACCGATTAAATAAGCCTTTGAAACCCTCAAATTGGAATATTTTTTTGGATTTTGCCCCCTGGAACACTTTTGGGAGATTTTGAGCGACAACCAACCACGTCCACTTTTTTCTTGTCCGGGACCTCGAACTCCCCGTCGGGAAAATCCTGGCAGCGCCATCACTGCTATTGTGCTATATGCATCCTCTAATTACTAATGTAGTTATATTATGTTGTTCTAAATGAACACAGCAAATATACTGGACAATGCATACATTGTTTTTTAAAATATATAGGTTTCAAACAATTATAAATATTATCAATAATAGTACTTTGATTAATTGTAGCCTGCTATTAATGAACATCATTCCCATAGATGGTCCTACAAGGGCATCAATTCTAGTGAGAAAACTGTTTAATATTAAATTATATTATATTCATACTTCAACTCTTTGATTGATCACTTGAATCTTGCTCTCCATGCGGTTGGCTTTTATCACTTCTTCACAACGGTTGGCAATTGAACTTGCCTCAATGGCATACACTAATCAAATAAAAAATTGTCATATTTCACTTAAAGTATCTTTATATGAATAAAAGAAAAATTCCAAAACTGATTTTAAGTAACCTGGGTTTAATATCATTGATCTTAAAGGAGTTGTATTGGTCCTTTAATTGTAGCTGTGATGATGGATCATGCATGGTCACTAATAACAACAAGGCAGTATTTTTTCCCTATAATTGTTTTTAATTAGATTGATATTCACTCATGATCAACAATTTGATAATCTATTTTGTTAGAAGTTTTCCAGACCATTAGGTTTTGAATCCCAGATGTAATACACCTTAATGTAGCTGTCTTCAACGACAGCACTTAGAAATTATAACATTTAAAAATTAGTTTCAGTTATTCTATCTAATATTTCCCTGTAAATTTTTCAGAATTTTACAAACTACTGTATACCTTTGCAATAGCAGCACAAACATGTCATTTTCTTCCTAATCATGTGTTTTTTTTTTATTAATCCCCATCAAAAGAGATTTGTATGGCTGGATATTTTTTTATCTAATTTTTTTTTTTACAACTTCATTTGCATTTAACAGCAAGTAAATCAATAAAATTACAGGAGGGATGATGCAAGTCTCTTTTATGAGGCTTAAGGTGTGCAGTTGTTTTTATCTGCGAGAAAAAGTCTGACGACAGGACACGGAGATTAGAGTCAGGCAAACTTAATCTCTAAGCTACCTAAGCTATACAGCTCCACTCCAAGCCATTACACAACTCCAGTCCACTCCAATTTTGTTACTATAATGGCAATAAGGTAGCCCCAATGGGAGTAACAAAGGGGTTCGAGCCCCCTGTCTAAGGTTTTAAGAAAGTAGTTAGAATATTAGTTTCACACGTTAGTGCCCCTTAAAAAGGTCCTGCTCTCTACTGGGTAGCGCCCTCCACTAGGTTTGTAGTTTTGAATGAGCAAACATCTTATAGATTATTATAGGCTTTAGTTTAGAACACTGACCTTTCTTTGCACCAGCTTGAACACAAAAACAACTCAGAATACCTAAAAAGATATAATTAAAATAAAAAGGATTTACCACATTTATTTCGAATAAACGCAAAGGGGCATTTATTGTGGAGGGTTTTTGAGCGTGCGCTATTCGAGGAAGGCGTTGATTTTTTTTGTGTGTAAATGGAAACGTTTATAATAAAACAAACTCCCCTTAATTTCACTGTAAATGTGGAGCTACAACACGTAATTACCATCATAATGTGTTATTGCGTGACCATAAAGACCTTTGAACCCAACCAGGTTAGAAAAAAGGCAATTCTACTGGAGTAGAACATTATAGAATTTATCTTTTGCATAATACATTAGTTTTGTTTACATTTAGGGGGAAGGGGATGCTCATTTGATGAAAAAATAAATGACTCGGGGCATTTATACGACGTAGGAGTTGATTCCAAATGAGGTTCTGGATGGGAAGTTTATTCAAGGATGGCATTTATTCGAAGTGGAGTTTATTCGAATAAATAAGGTAAATTACTTATTCTTCATTATTTAGAATTTTAAAAAAAAAATTAAAATGTTTAGCCCAAATTGCAAGTCAATTATTAGAGTAAAATAATTTCCAATCTTGCTACAATTTTTAAGAAATTTAATCAGGTTTGCTAAATATGCATTGTAGTAGTATCAAAATTTAACAAATATTAATTTAGAGGAAATTACACAATATAATGAGTGCAAATCAAGAGTGAAACAAGCAGCATAAAAAAAAAAAAACTAATTATTAGTACTCTTTTTTTATTCAATTTTATGTAAATTTAAAAAACAATAAATAAATAAATATAAAGTGAGTAATTGTAATTTAAAATTTTGTTTTAAAATTCATGGTTTTGTATAAAATTTTATTGACATACAGTACAATCAAAATTTTTAAATCACAATGACCATAAATTTGAACGTCTTTTAACAGGGGAGAAGCAAGTTACTGTATTATACGAGCCACACCTGAGTGGTTCAATACGTTAGTATAAAGCCCTATGTATAAATCCAACTACACTATACTTTACATTAAGTGGCCATTATGAGTATAATTTCACAACCATCTTAAATAATAATAATAATAATCAATTAAAATAATCTTAATTTACCTAAGTTATCTATTTCTCTCTATTGTAGTGCAATAAGTATTTTGTTTCTCTTTTGTGAGGATTCCTTTTATCTTTTTTCTTGATTTACATACCTTAAATTTATTATATAATATAATTTTTAAAAAAGCAGTAGCAGTATGCCATATAAAATGTGTAAAGGTATGAAACATACCTACAGT